CAATTTTCAATCCATTAAAAATTAAAAAAATAAATAACTGATTGCTTGTTTTCTTGAATTCAAAAAAGAAACGCTGAGTCTGGCCAGCACTTCCTCGGGCTACTGCCTGCTGGCTCCATAAGCAGAACTCACCTGTGCTGCTCTAAGTTGGGTCCAAGGGGCCTCAGCAAATGGAAACCCATGGAGCGGTCTCCAGCGCTGCATGCAGGTTGGGAGGGGAGGGCTGTGCCGGACTGGGGACAGATGCAGTCCTGAGCATTCTGTGGTCAGCGTGGTGGCAACAAGTCACCCAAGCAAGGTGAGCTGTGGTGTCCTCAGACTCAAGAGCCTGTTGCCCCACAATTGGACCCTCAGCAATTTCTGCAGCATCAGGCTGACTGCTTCCAGGATCTCAGGTCCTACAAGCTCTGGACCCTGGACTAGAAAAAGCTTTCATCTAGCTTCAAGAGAACCCCAGGGCTGGAGCCTGAGGCTTCCTTTCCCTATCTGAGGCCCAGGTAAATGGCCCTGGTCAGCAATTTTTGTGAGATATACATTCTTGATTGAAGAGTGACCACTTCCTAGTACAGCACATAGCTGGCTCTCGCAGAGATCTGGATCTGCCGTCTGCTTTCTATCTCATCTCCAGGATTCAGAAGGGATCTCCTCCAGCCTTTCACCATATGTCGTGGCCTTCAGCTCACTGTGTGGCCCAGACTGGGCTTGAACTCACAATAATCTTCCAGCCACATCTCCCAAATGCTGGGATTATAGACATTTGCTACCTTTTTTTAAAAAAAAAGTTTTTAAAAAGTCAATTCTTCTAAGTGAATGTAAATATGATGTATTATGGACATACGCTAGTTAGAAAAATAACACACACTGAAAAATATAAAAGAGTCCCGTTTCTCCCTACTTGCTGTTGCTGTCTTCCACTGCCGTGAAGTATTGCCCCTCTGCCATGGGCCATGATGCTTTGGAACCAGCTCATTATGGACTGAAATTTCTACAAACTGCAAGCTAAATAAGCCTTTCCTCCCTCAACTTTGGGGGTTGAGTATTTTGTCCCTGCAGTGAGAAAAGTAACTAAGATACTAATTGACTAAGGAAGCTCCAAGGCGGGGGCACCCCAGAAAAGTCACTCGGCCATCACACACCAGCACCTCAGTCAGGGGCACATGGCTCATCCCGGCCGCGGCTCCCACCCGGACAGTCTTCAGCAGCAGGAGTTCGCCTTGAGAGAGACCCAGGGCAGAGAGTTTCAGCCCTGCGGTGCTCGTGTCTCAGGCACAGCACACAGGCTGTCACAGCCAGGGGACCCTATAAGGTGCTCAGGAGGTGTGAAGGGGAGGAGAAGCCATGTGTGAGGAGCGGCTGTGTGGCTTTAGCACACTGTCAGGTCCTCTGGGCCTCCGGTTCACATAAACTGCAAACTGGAGCTGGCAGAAGTGTCAACAATGGCGACAGTGGTGGTGTTATAAGAGCTTCAGTGAGTAGATTATTCAGCACTTATATCCCGCATTTTATGAGTCCAACATGAATGAAAACATTTTATTGATAGTCAAGTGGATGTGCAGAAAATTGAGGACTCTTGCCTCAGGATATTGGGGAGAAAATGCAAAGAGATGCTCTGAGTGACTCCTCTCTGAACCCCTCCATGTTCATCCTCAATGCAACACACACACACACACACACACACACACACACACACAATCTGTGCCTTTGGTATGCTCAGTGTCAGCCCTGTAATCTCCTATGCCTAAAAATTAAAAAAAAAAAAAAAAAAAAGATTCATAGTAGGGCTGGCCAGATAGCTCAGCAGATTAAAGCACCTGCTTAGGCTCTTGCAGGGACCAGGATTCGAGATATCCGACCAAGCCCAGGAACTGCGAGTGTGGGGGGGAGCTTCTGCTCAGTCCTGTGCCCACCCGCCACTCCAAGCCCAGGCCTGCCACATAAGAGGCCTTTGCCCTTGTTATCCAGACCTCCCTTGGCTGGCCAGACCCAGCACAGCCTGCCATCTGAGTAAGAACTTCTG